AAACATCGATTATCACGTAATAAAACACATCCGAACGTTGTGATCGGTGATTGGATCGCATTTCGAGTTTGTAATTGCCTTATTTGATCCCACTGATGAATTGTACAGCATCAGGAAGATCCATCCAGTATTTTGATAAAATGAGTTTACATTAGGGGAAGGTTTTAGAAGAAAATTAGAAGGAAACCTTCCCCTAATGTAAACTCATCTTTGAGGATGAGTTTACATCTGGGGGAGGTTTTACCCATCAAAAAATTTCATAACGAATCCTGCTGCATTTTAACTCCGCATAACCGGATTGTTTACATTGTTTTTATACCGAATGCATGACACGACGCCATACTCGTCATTTACCATGCCTAGAAGTGACAGCTTAGGCTTGTGAAGGTTTGCAGACTGAAGCATTTTGTTCATCGAATAATAAAGTGGATACTGAAGGGATGAACAATTTCAGAAGAATACTGCATATGGTCAAGGATGCTTGATTCAGATCATCGATCCAGTTTTGCCAACCAAAACTTTTTGGATCAAATCTAGGATGGAAACTAGGGTGCGTTTATATATCTTTCCTTTTCTAGCTTCTAACCTAACACCTTCACAACATAAGTGTTTATGTTCGAATTCTCTTTGAATTCCCATTTATCACGATCTCAATTTCTCATTAACGAAAAACTTTTGATCGTGAAAAACGTCAATTTTACTTTTAAGTTAATTTTCACCTTCCATCGAAAAACGTTACTAAAAAGTAACGGATATCAGTGGATACGTTTCTTATCTTCCTTCTCTGACATTCACTATCATTCACAATGTTATCTCATTTGAAGAGTCCCGTTGGATATTATCCAATGATGATAACTTTTTTCAGTCATTTTTACCTCCTATCGTGAAAAACATTCTTGTGAGTTACCGTTTTTATCCTTCTTCGATGACACTCAACATCTTAGGCAATGCCATCTCAAGTAACGCATCCCAGTGGATATTACCCAATGCTAATAACGTCTTTCAGTCACCGCAAACAGAGTGTGTCTGCGTAAAAACTACTGCGATCGCTTCACCAGATGCACAGTTACAAGAGGGTGACTGTGGGATTTGTAGAATATGGTCACCGCATTTCGAGGTTATTTTCAATCGCACTTTCGACACTGTGCCGTCTTCATTTTCTCTTTATTTTCAAGTTTCGTAAACAAGCATTTTTGGGAAGATGCGGGATCGAACGCACGCTCTCTGAACTAATCAGATCCTCACAATCAGTGTCTAGCGTCACCTCGTCAACCACCTACCCATTTCTACAGTCATTTTGAATCTACTCACGTAATCTCTTCTCTCAATTCACATCTGTTTATGCCGGCTTTACGCGTATCGCGCATTTATGTTGCAAGAGATCTTGATCCTGACGAGGTGGAACCTATGAAGAATATGAATTTATGGATCAATTATGCCGGGAGAGGGGGGGGGGGCAACTTTGAGAAGAGAGAATCAATTCGATCTACTGATCAATGAATGATTCTAGATGGGTAGTTCCGAATTCATTTTCGAACTGCAAAATCTTAATTGCAGTATTTGGCTGATCCTTTACACCTCTTCAATGATCCTGTGAATGTGAAACCAAATGTAGCATACGATGTATGGTGCAGACTGAACAGTGACCCAGAATCACAGTACGATGGCGTTAGTCCAATTCTTGAGATACACTCAATCGAGGCGCCTTCTGAAAGTCAAATGATATCGCTATGTGCTGTATGTTCACAGAAATCAGTTTTGAGTTTGTTTTTTAGTAATGCAATATGATTTTTATCAAGTAAAGTGATATTACTAAATATGTACCATTGAAAGGAATAATGGTTCACGCATGATTTTAAAGGCATTTTCTGAACAGCTGGATTTGTAATGCAAATTTGTGAATAGCTGGGGTAATTTTTGGAACATATGACAAAAATGAGGACGCATGCGATTTTAAAAAATTATAAATGATAAGAGGAAATATTAATTACAGCCCTGGGCGCCAGGAAGCCTATGCAGTCGGATTGATCAGGTGTTAGATCTATCGTTAGATCCATCCTCACAAAACCAGCAATTCACGGTGGAAAGCCAGGAATCATCGGCAGAAACACAGGACCAATCCAGTGGAAGACGGAAAATGTGTGAAAAAGAACATTTACGATCTATAGTTAGTTCTAGAATATCATAAACTGCAATAAATGGTTTATGCGTGAATCTAATGGCACCGTTTGAACAGTACGATTGTCAGTGTAGCTTTATGAAAAGTGGATCTGGATTTTGAAAAACATGAGAATAAGTACTGAAGTGCGTTTGATTAGTAATTCAGTATGCTCAACAGAAATGCTTATTGTAACCGCGAATGCAATCGAATGCAGACAATCCAGCTGATTTGGTCAAAATCGTTTCACTTTTAGAATCTTTCGTTTGTTTCATGTCAACTTTATTCCTAATCCTGCAGTGGCATGCCCAAGATGACGAACAGTCCTTTCATCTGTTCCCAGTTCCGTATTAGTCTCCCTTCAGCACACAAACAGCAATGACATTTGAATTGATTTGCAGTTGGAGGAGTTTTTTGCTATCATTTTCAGGATACCGAGAGAGAAGATTCAAGGAAGTCGGCTCAAGAACATCATAAAACAGTTGCTGAATTTGTAGTCGAGCAGTTGAAAGAGAAACGAGATCTTTACCTGAGACATCGTCAAGAGGCGAACGCCATCAGTGGACTGATGTACGAATAAGTACTTGCATGCCTCGAATTCACTTCACAAACGAAATGAACTCTCACTATCTCCTTTGTATTATCGCTTATCATGAATGCAATAAAGAACTGTCTCAAATTTATTAATTTTGTAGTGCAGAGCAATCGCTATCAATGAGACAATGGATCATCGAAGAGAATCAACGCAACGATCACAAATCAGCTCTGATGACTTTCCTCGAATCCAATCCAGCCACCGATGAGGTACATTATCTCCAGGAAGCATTCTCATCGTATCATTTCACTTTAAAAAATTTGGCGTTCCATAAATGATAATTCCTTATCAAACTTGCCGAAGTTACTGAATGAGATCACAATGAGATCATGTGAATTTACAGAGTGTTTCGCAGACTTCCATCGAGCCAGCATCATCCATCAATAATATTCTTGAACAATTACGCAGTTGCAGTCGTTGCCAAACAGTATGTCAAAGTCAATGATGTTGTTCAATGTTTTATATAACCTTTTCAAGCACAATGTCTTTTCGCTCAAACATGGCGAGTGCATTTGTATCGAATATCTCAAAAATACTGATGCACTTGGTATTAATTCATTAGAAGATGTACAATCCTTGAACATGAGCAATTTTTAGGCTTTTTATACCTGAAAATTCGGTTATTTCATGCTACTTCCATTAGAAAGTGACTGTTGGTTTGGGGATTACTTCAAACATTGAATTCTAAATGGACTACTCAAATGAAATTATCGCATGTTCTTTCAGTTATTTCATCAGCAGTGCGCTAAGCAGGTCGATCGTAGAGATTCGGTGTGGGAGACGATTCTGGACACAAGCAGCAAACAGCTTGCAATGAGTGAGAAACAA